CCTGATCCCATTGACACCTCGTGATCACACAGGCTGGTGTGCTTCTTCCATGTGGGTTTTGTTGCTTCTCAGCTAGATGGCCGCTTGTTTATCTTTAAGCCTTTAAGAGCCCAGATGCTATATATTTTGCTAGCCGGGTCTGTTTCTCAGGGAAGAGCTGCCTACGGAGTTCGCCTTCATCGGGACGAGACGTTGTGAAGCTGCTCTCCCCATCTCCCCAGTGGGGGGTGCAGTGTGCGCAACTCCTCTCCCCACAGCACCTTTGGGACTTCAGAGTGTAGCAGGACTGAAGGTGGCCCTGGTGGGAGCAAGTGCAGGCCTGACCACGAGGGACGAGGAGCCTGGGACTGAGGAGCAGACCCCCAGCCCATCTAGCTGGAACTCTCCGTCCCGCCTTGTGTGCTTCTTTCCCTCCTCGCACTGCCCGCAGGGTGCCACTGTCCGCTCCCTCTGTCTCCAGCGCCATGACCTCTGTTTCCCGAGCCCCTTTGGGCTTGCTCTCGGGGTCCAGCCCTACACCAGACACCTTCATCTCCTGGCGGGGCCTCCCGTGGCCTCCCGCCAGCTCTTGGGGAGCACGGTGCTCTCGCCCCAAGGCAGCTGTGCCAGCCGTACCCCTCCCACCTGGGGAAACACCCCAGTTTTCCCAACTGCCTAACTCCTCTCTGGGGCTCCCCCACTTTCTCTGCCCTACCCCCTCCCCACTTCACCTCCTTCCTGTATCTGCCAGTCTCACCTTCTACCTGGCTGCCTTTTTTGTTTCTTATTCTCACCAGTGAGTCCCTACATTCCGTTTGACATGTGCCGAGGAGCTGGGACCATGTACGTCCATTTGTCCCCAGGAGGGAGACCCTGAGGATTTCCTTCTGAGAGTGGAGGGTGGCCTGGCACCAGCTCTGGGAGGGGTAAAGCCTGGGCGTTTGGTGTCAGTGGTCAGGTGACCCTGCCAGCCGCCAGCGCTCGGACCACGTATGCATGCACGCACGCACGCACTGGGCAGAAGGTCTGTGGGCGGAAGGCTGGGAGGCAGCTGTTTTCTGGGCACTTGCCCCATGGGTTTATCTTCGAGGTGCCCCCTGCTCTTGACAGTGAGAATGGCAGTGTGTACACCCCACAGGAAGTGACTGCCGTGCGAGGGCGGGCATCCTGTGACCTCAGTGTCCCCGCACTGCTGGTGCCCTGGCCGCAGCTGCATCGATGGCTCAGACTGAGCTGTGTCTGGGAGCGAATCCTGCCATCTCTGCTCCCAGGTGAGGGGCCTGACTGCCCCAGCCTGAGGGCATGGCAGGCGTGCACCCCTGTTTATGCTCTGACACTGGCCGAGCAGCAGCACAGCTTTCTCCACCCAGTCGTCTGGGAGCCTTTGCTCAACTCCCATGACCCGTTTTGTGACATTGCACTCTGACAGGTTTGGACGTTGTGTGAACACCTGTGTCCTCCTGGGTGCAGGCTCCTCTGCCGAGTCCCACTCGATATCTGCCCCTGTGTTCTCTGCTGAACCTGTGAGGAGTTTTGCCTGGGGAGGGGACATTGATACAGTGGGGACCCAGAACTTTCCATCACCCAGAGACCCTGCCTACTTCCCTTGGCTCCGTCCCCGCACTGCCCTCTTGGCCCAGACAGTCCTTCACCTGTTCTCCTGCCAGTGTGTTCTCTGTTCAGGAGCAGAGCCAGACCGTGTCTATGTGACCGGTGGGGTCACCGGGAGGGTCAGGAAAGATGTTGCGTGTCCTTGTGGCAGAGGCTACCGTGAGACTCGCAGTTTGTCCAGCCGTCCACCTATCAAAGACCTCTGGTGGCTGCCAGTTTGGGCCAGTTACGGATCGGTTTGTGTACAGGTTTCTCCATTTCTCTGGGACCAGGACCCGGGAGTGTGCTTCCTGGTGGTATGAGGGGGCTCCCCAGACCCGGCTGCCAGAGTCCTCCTTCTCTCCCCACGAACTCTCCAAAGCTCCCTCTGGGGTAGTTCTTGACAAAGAATTACTGCCACTACCTTTCAGACTCCTCCAGAACTTCGGGGTGAGGACCCTTCCCAGCACAGGACTGGCAAGCCCAATTCCAGCGACAGGCTCGAAGGGTTCTTTGGCGGCGACCAGATGGGATTTGCCTTAGCAATGCTATAAAGGTGGTTTAGCATGTGAAAGTCAGCCTGTGTGATTCTGCATCTTAATCGGGAAGGGGGATGGAGCCGTTGAATCCTCAGAGGATGTGGATAAGGCATTTGACGAAAACCTGACACGTTGTCATTACAGAAAGACACTCTCACGATAAGGAATAGAGAGGGACTTCCTCAGCTCAGTCCGATAAGGGACCTTGTGACCTCAGTGCGTCATGGAGTAAGCCGAAAGAATTGCTTCCCCAAAGATCAAGAGCAAGACAACCAACAGCAGCTTTTGTCCCTTACTGTCCCCATCCTACTGGAGGCTCTGGCCAGTCGGGTGAGGAAAAGGAGCCGCCATTCTGATTGGCAAGAAGGAGATAAACCCCCAACAAACGACACGCTCTGGCTTGTGTGTCTAGAAAACCCTCACTGCTCTGCAGGTAACTCCAAGAGCCAGGGAAAGCCAGCAAGCTGGGGCATGTGGCCAGTGTACAGACAGCAGCGGTTTCCCTGCGTTGTGCTCACCAGGGGCCGCACAGTCAGAACGGAACACTGCCGGCCCTGCACCAACCTCACAAGTGTCCGTCT